CAAATGGGATCCTGATGTGGGTACTCTGCATTGCCCCAAAAGCCAGTGTATGTGTTATAGCATATAGCATGTTGCACTGAGGAAAACACGAAGGTTCCCTGGTAGTGCTAAAACCCGCTCTTATTTTTGTGTATGTGCAGTATATATGCAAATGCATATATAAATGAAAATATTCACACAGAAGTTTACAACCTTGTGTCTCCCTTCTAAGCAATAACTAGCCAGAGCAGCTTTTAGCTAATTATGTACAGAGGAGGGTTTAGAAAATTCAGTAGCTAAAAAAACCCCAAGGTGGTCGTCACTGCATGGACAAGCCTGCTTGCTTTAAAAAATATATAAATCAGCCACCATGACCCCAAAATATAAATCTGAAAACCTGTCTTGTATCCCTACTTCTGCATTCCTCTGCCACAATGAAGATGAACTGGCCCTCAGCATCTGCTCAAGCGGCAAAATGGAATGCTTTCCTGGGCTTCCCCTTTGACATGCAGGGAGAAGTTTATTAAGGACATCTGCCAGATACCAAACTTATCACAGGATGATTGAGGCTGAGAGGCACATCTGGATATCTCATAGTCTGATATCTTGCTCTGAGCAAGGACGCATAAAGCAGGATTCCCAAGACCATGGCTAATAAAAGTTTCATGGTCTCCAGGGCTGCAGACTCCACAGCCTCTCCAGGCAACTTGTTCCAGTGTTTGACAATCATTGCAATAAAAAGGGAGTTTTCTTGTTTTTACGTGGAATGTAGTGTTTCTCATTTTGTGCCCATTTCCCCTTCTCTTTTCCCTGGGCACCACTGGAAAGAATATGGCGCCATCTTCTTTACTACCTCCCATTAAGTTTTTATAGATGTTGACAAATCTCCCCCTTTTATGCATCAATCATCAGTGGCAGATTCACAAGACAGGAAACGGAAGGCAAGTCAGTAGCTGAGACAAAGCAACGCAAGGATTGCTGTGGATCTCAAACAGAATCTGAGCTAAAAACCAGTCACTTCACTGCACATATGACAAATCCATGCTGGAACATACGGACAGCAGTATTTTATGTAAGGTGAGTGGCCTTACTTCTTACTCAACAACGTCTAGGTCTCTGCTGAAGGATCAGGGGGAGTTTGGACCATTACAACTCAAGGAAGTTGCAGGCCTGTCAGAAAGGATCCCGGTGACAGCAACAACATTAATCAATGTGCTGAAAAACATCACCTACATGAAAATGCTCCGGGAGTGGGGCTGGTTTTGTCTGGGGAAAAAAGAAAGGAAGAGGGAAGGGTTAGCTTTCAGGTTCTGCAAGAGAAAGTAATGGACAAAAAAAAAAAATATACAGTCTTAAAATGTAAGGGGAGAGATTTAGGCTGGATATTGGGAAAACTTTCCAAGGTTGTTAAGGCACAGATCGCCTAAGGAGGTTCCTCACCTATGGAAGATGCAAGAAGACCGTGTAGTATCTGCACACAATGGCAGAGGTAGACCTGATCATGACTTAGGAATGAGAGAAAGTTATGTTATGTCTTGAGGTCTTTCCAGCACAACTTTCTGTTATTCTATGAAAAGTGCTAAAAATCCACCTTGAACACATGCTTCCCACAAGTCATTAATAAGTGCAGCTACCAAGCCAGGTGTTTCTAATATTACACAATTTAGAAAGACAAAATCCTCCCTGTTCTATTATCAGCAAACTCTAAAATAGCTCACCAAAAAGATCTCCAGCACCTAGAGAACACTGATGGGAGAAAATGATAATAGCTTAAGCTTTAGTTCAATTGATCTGGAGAGATTTCTGAGTCTGGATACCTGAAATAGGCATTAACAGAACTGTCCTAAGAATATCTGTGGGCATCCTCCAGGTCTGGGCCTCATAGAAGTATGCAATAGTTCTATTCCCACAGTCCGTATTACGTTATTGTTCAAGACAGATTGTGTCACGTTTGTCACACATGGTTCAGTCTTCCCCTGAATGTTTTTGCAGACACTGGCACCATTGCAAAGCAAGTATAAAACACCATCAGGCTAATATAATGCCTCCTTCTATTTGATGAGTCCTAATACAAATGACTCTGCAAGACCACAGGGCTCCAGGGTCTCCTGTGTTATGCATAGTTACCTGTCACTCTATCTGCACGGACGGCTTTCAAAGACCTCTTTGTCTGCAAGGTAAACTCAGGCTGGAGATGATCTCAGACTTGAAATCCCAGCCAAGGGAAGTCATCAGGCTACAAAACCCACAAAGTTAAAAATACAGGGAGCACTGGAAAATCAACAGGAAGCAATTTCTGCTGACTGAAGTTTTCAGTCTTCTTCTAAACGCCAGCTAGCAGCGGCCTGTGGGGTGGGACAAAGCAGCTACATGAAAGCAGCAGCAGCCCTTAACTTGGTACATTAAAGCATGAGCAAATGTCATGAAAAGATTAAGACTGTCCCTCAGCTGTGATGGTATATCTGGATATTTTGAGGGCAAGGTAGTTGAGTTCCCCAGACCATCTCTTCTCCCTCCTTGTCAGGGTCCCCTGGACAATGGTTGCCAAAGGGGATTTCTCCTTTTCTTTTGGTTCTTGACATTAGCAGGCCTGAAATTGGTCCTGGCAGTTTGGTATGAAGTACTTACCATCTCGGGGGATTCCCAGGCCTGTTGGACATTAGGTGTCTGAACACATTTTTGTTTGGTCTGACTCGGGGCAATGCCTGTCAGACCAACTTACTTAGATCATAAGTACCAGCCATCAAATGAAGATTGACTATTTCTACCCCCAGCAAAGCAAAGTGATAAGCTTTTTAGTGCAAAATCCCAGTGGAAAAAAGTTACAGAATGAAAACATAAAAACATGAAAACACAGACCTAAAATTTCTCTTCTTGCTCTGGTGTTCACATCAAATGATTGCGTCCCTCGGCTTCAGAAGCTGAAGATGCAGCTCAGTAAGCCTCTGCCTTCAGAGTGGGACATCTCTGAGGCATCTGAGGCACATGCAGATACAGATGCAGAAAAACTGCCATTTCATCTCCCCAGTCCATAGAGCCTCTTGAGCCGATGTGTAAGCTGGCAAGTTTGCCTTGACCCACTAGGGAGCTCACTGATGGTATACAGACCATCCACTCTTGGCTGAAATTCATCAAGGAGGACTCCCCCCTCCCTACCTCTATTGAGATTTTTTAAATATATAAAATGCAGGTGCCCTGTAGAGGGACATATTTTCTTACGTCTTATCCAATATGATCACTCAGGAAGCATGGCTGTGGCCAAGACAACACTGGGCAATCTCATAAGAAAGCCCAGCCAGTCACCTGAACAACTGTCATTCCCTCTGTTCATATGCGTGTGTGTCTGTGTGCGTGTGTGTGCGTGTGTCCTTGAAGCAGGATTTATTTCCTGGCAACAGGAATTTTCCCCCTCCTTTCATTGTAATTGGGAGTTACAGTGATGTAAGATCATGTAAGGGTGTTGCTTTGAAAAGTTTATACAGGGCCACAGACATGAAATCTCATTACATCATTGGGTCACCAGTCTACGGTCATTGCTTTAAAATTAGGTGGATTTGAAAAAAAAAAAGGAAAGTTGGAAGTGATTTCTTCATTTGTCGTCTGGCCTCTGAGCATTTACAGGTGTACTGGTTCTCCACTGGCAAGTTTTTTCCATGCGTTCATGAGGACAAAACATACTTTTTTCAGTTTGGGGGGAGTGTCTGTATAAAAGTTGTTCCTGGCACTATCTTTTGGTTCCAGCTAGTAGAAGTATCAAAAGAACATTAAATAGTACAAGGATCTCAATAAAATTACAAGCATTAGCAGCAACATCTATGTGCTATGGTATTACATGGGCAATGGTTAGAAGAGGAGTTTACAGCTGCCTAGTCTCTATCATACTAAGTCTGAAAGAAAAACAGGAAAAGGGGAAAAAAAGCTGTTTAAAGGGAGAAAACCAAATTTTCTGTCTCAAAAAAAAAAAAAAAAGAAAAGAAAACCTGATGAGTTGTATTTGCATTTGTATACAGAGGCACTAATTTAATATAGGATTCTGAACCTATACAGGTATGTTTGCATCAAGCCAGAAAGGGACAACTTGCATGTCACAATAAGAAACTATTCTAGTTTAAGGTCTACTCATTTGCTCATAAAGAACAGAATCAGGATTTAGAGACCAAGATGAGCACTGATCAGCTAATCCTGCCATTCTCCTCCTACAGAGAGTGAACTGAGACCACTGAGTCTTGCTGGCACTTCTGAGGGGCAGCAGAGCCTGTGGCCATGCAGGGGGATTATCACGCCTCTGGCCCAAGTTAATCATTCTGATTTGTGCCTTAACCTTCACTGACACCTACTGCAGTCATAATCGCCCTCACATACATTGCCTTTTGCTCCCCATAGCTTAAATATTCCTGGCCAACATTTCCAGCCGTGTAAATCACACCTCTTTGAAAATATAAAATGTTTGAATAATCGAGCAGTACTGTTAATAGCCTTCCCAGCTTTGCTAACCCTCTGATAGTTAAAATCTTAATAAATAAACCAGATCAGGTGGGTTTCTGTGCTTATCACCTTCCTGCCGCTTAATGAGGCTTTTCAGCTATTTAGCTATTTAGGTTTAAATCTTTTGTATTAGGTTTATAGCTGGCTGGTGGCACGACAGCCAACTCAGACATAATTCTAAAACTGATGTTTCCAAGTGGAAACTTGGAATTTGAATTCAAATGACCTTACTTCTTTTATTATTATTATTATTCTTTCCTGTATGCGTTTTTCAGCTTGCTCATTCTTAATTCCTGCAGTACTTACTACTGCAATAAGCCTAATCCTTTATACTTGTACACCCCAAGAGTGGGAGCCATAAATACTTCTGCAGTCTCTCCAGGGCAAATCAGCTGTAATTGGATCTCCCATTGCCTCGCAGAAAAAAAAAAGGAAAGAAAAATAAGGAAAGGCGCATTCCAGCCAAAGACAATTCTATGTCTGTGTCTGTGTGTTTGTGCCCTCGAGTAACACTCTGTCCTTTTGCTCTGCTCTAGGCTGAGTTCTCCGAGCTGAACCTGGCTGCTTATGTCACAGGCGGCTGCATGGTGGACATGCAGGTCTTGAGGAACAGCACCAAGGTGGTAAGGTGAGGAACACCAGCTTGTCTTGAAAATCAGGATTCCTGGAGCAATGTTGGGGCAAGCAGGATGACTTCAGGGTCTGATTGGTACCTGAACTAGGGCAGCACAGTCCTGAGGACTTCAAGGTTTCCTGGAAGCAATGGAAAGACTGACCTGGCTGATGGTTTTGTATAAGGTCTCAGATGCACATTATGCCATACAGTCATTGTTTCCAGTCTAGACCCTTCAGGCAACTACAAATGCCTCCTTTTTGGGTTCTTTTTAGCCTCAGGCCTCCCAGTAAAATGGACAATGAATCTTCCTTTCCCTTGATTTTTCTCTCCTGTGTCAGCTAACCCTCATTGTAAACAGTGGCTTGCCTTCATTATCCTACCTGTGTTAGTAATGTTAGTCCTAATCCCAGTGGATTACCCTTGCAGTATCCACAAAGCCTTTTCAGTATCCTGATCTTTGCAGCCTGATTTGCTCCTGAAATACCACCTTTTTTTTTTTGTCAGAGACTCCCAAAGCCTAGACTTGCACTGTGATATGTCTCAGAGGTTATACCGTATATCTGATGGGGATTTCTGACCCCACTAGCATTATTTCATAATTGCAGTCATTGCAAACAGACTTTTCCTGAGCAATGCTTCCCCAGTCATGCACCCTATTCACTTTCCAAAAACAGTGCTTGACTCCATTCTGACACCAGGGTGCCTGCAATTTGGAGTTAACGTTAGATGCATTATTACTGGTACTATATAAAGAGCAGTATGAGCTGTTACATCTGTGTATGATGGTAAAATGCCTCTGTTTACATAGCCCTGATATTACCTCTCACCCTTTTATTCCCAGGCCTACATCTTAATGAGTTTCTGTCATTACAACTTCTAACTCTACATTTCATCTTTGATAACAACAGCTTTTCTGAGCTCATGTTGAAATCTCATTGCTATTCCCAATCCATTTTTCTAGCCTCCCTACTTCTTTTGTACAAATCTTTTGTGCTTTTTGGTGTATACAGCATCTCCAAATTTAATATTGTTCACACATTTAGTCAATGCTTTTGTCTGTTAGCTTCTAGTTCAGAAGTAAAGCTATAGACACATAATATAGCATGCAGGGATACTTTTGAAAGAGATTATTAGAGCAGCTGAAAAACAGTGATTCTGAGTGTGCTGGCCTCAGTTTAATTTTTCAAGATGTCATTTCCAGTCCAAACAGTGCAAAGCAACACTTGTCACTGTCAATTAGCTATGACTGTGGTCTATCAATTTATTTCAGGTCTTGACGGCTCTTAATCTCCATTCATTCTTAAGTGCAATTTCACAAGCCTCTGCTAAAATTTTGTCAGGTTGAGTCTGTTACATCCATTTGCTTTTTCTCGTCCCACAGATGTCTGCTTCTCAGTGAAACAAAGCGTATGTCCCATGAACCAGCCTCTGGTGCATCCATCAGACAGTGCGCCATGCTAATGTGCTCTTGTATTCGCTTGCTCACGATGCTGGAAGGTTTCCGAAAACCATTTCCTAGGTTGATCACATCTTCATTTTCCCTCCCTTGCCTCCCAAAGCCATTCATACATCTTTCCTCCCAAAGCCATTCATACATCTGGCAGAAAGATCTTGAGCTATTAAACTGAAACTGAAGACAAAATTTATTTCACAAGAGTGTCTGGGACATGGTGTTCATGCTTCTGCTCACAGTAAATACACAGGTATCACAGCTAGCCTTTTTGCGTGGGTATTTATATTTGAAAATTCATGTCTTTATGAATGGCATTAGTTCAGGGTTTTTGGGGCTGTGTATGCATGCTTAAGGACACATGGATTTGTGTGGTGGGAAATGGATTTGGCAAATATATGCTTGTCTCTATACCCAATTTATACGGTATGTGTTGTCCATGGTTTCTTAAAAGTCCTTACAAGCACTAGCCATTTGTTTACAGCCTGTGCCACTGTGCCCCTGTCCTGCCCAGCTCAGAGGGGTTAAGAGCTCAAGCTAAGCAACTTCCACAGCCATTCCTAGAACCTATAGAAATAAAAGCTCTTCTTCACTTTCAAAGGGGAATTACTGAGCTGTGTGGAGGCTCTTCACCCACCCTCATGGGTGCAGTTTGCTTCTCATTCCAAGTTTCCCATCCCCACAGATTTGTCCTGCCTGACCACAGACACCCCTCAGGATGCCCAGCTGCTGGGAGACGTCACACAGGCCACCTTCAACTGACATGTGTGCACCAACGCTGCTGCTGATGACATCTTTTTCCATCACTTATTAGACCTCTGCTAATTATCAAGCAAAACAGTCACAAGTCAGAGTGTTTCTAGACAGCGAGATACAACACTCATTATGGTTTTTGAATACTCAAAGCCCTTGGAAATCCCACTGACAAGTTACAGGAAGGAAATATGACATCTTGCTTACAGGCACATTTGGGATTCCCCCCTGCAGGAACCGTGCCTTCTTCATATTCTTCAGAGCAAAGGCAACAGAGAGTGACTCTTGGCGTAGTCAAAAACAGTGAATGTACTGCAGACCTGTAAATTTTAAGTCAATAAAATAAAAAATGTTTATAACAAGAGCAACAGCAACAATAATAATAAAGCAACCATGGGGCTATTCTCTCCAGTTTGAAATTATGCTAACTGATAAACTATCATCTAACAATCTATTAGCCTATTGAATTCTGTCATTTTGCAGCAGGTCTTCTAGATGTTTCTTCAAAATGGGGACATCCTCTTGCACATTTAATTCAAAGCTTTTTCTTTGCTAATCCCTTGATCCTTTCTGACACCTTGGAGCTCAGGCACTCTTTTTTGACTTGAACATGACCAGGAAGGAATTGTGGTTCTTTTACCTGGGAGATAAATCCCCTAATAAGAAAGTATAATGGTCCTTGAAGCCCTAGGCTTGCCTCAGGCAAATTTAAGAAAAAAATATATTAAAATGAGCTTTAGAAGCATTGTTGTCAATTAGAGAGAATTAAAGAGAACAAGGAACTGGAAGTATACGGATCTCCATGACTATTAGACTGTCTATGTTGAAACAAGTAGCTTCAAGCAAGCTATCAAACTTCTCTCCAAGTGCTACTGGAGAGAAAGATCATCATCTAACAAATCTAAAACAAGCTGCATGTGTTTTTTCAGCTCCAGTCCGACCATGGTGTGATGGCTCCATCAGCCCATTCAATACACTTTCTTCAGAGATAGAAGAAAAAGAACTGGCCATGGAGTAATTTCTAGGTGCAATGGCTGGACTACTAAGCAGTGTGAAAAAACAAGCATGGGCTTATGCCTGCTTTTAAAACACTTGGGTGGATTCTTCATCCTCCTTCCAGTGCATGCACAACTTCCTTTTGCACAGGTCTATACACACAGACAGAGTGAACTGTCTGGAGTCTAATTTACCATAGAAAGCTCTTGGGCTGTGTCACCTCTACTGGGATTAGACATAAGGAATAGGATTTTCATTTCCACTTGTCTTCATTTCTCTGTAGGGCCCTTCCTACAGTGTTTCCACAGTGCAAAGAGGCTGTCAGTGCTGGCACAGCACCCACTCTGAGGTGCATTTATGCTTTCAGGATATTATAAAAGTGTCTCAGTATAAACGAGAGTTTGGGCAGTCTCTGCTTCTGACAACAACACTTAGACTCCCAAACTATGATCTCAGCCTCTGTGTTAGATTAAATGCAGTCCTGTGTTTGCCTTTTGGGTTTTACAAGCCTTCAGCTATTAATTCCAGTAGATGTGGGAATAAGACAGGGATATGTTGAAAATCTGGACAGCTTTTTTTACATGGGGAATACTAATGTCTTTGGGAGCATTTCAGACTTTTAAGGATATGAATTAATCATGCACCAGACTGCTCTCATCTCCTGTCTCCCCATGGAGCTGGTTCTTTTGCCATTGGGGCTGATCATCTAGGGGAGAAAGCACATTTTTGTGTGTCTGCATGCGACCTACCACAGTGGTGGCTGTACCACGTAGAGTGTGCTTATGCAGGCTCACATATGCCACAGTACAGACAATACCTGATAGACCATGAGGTGCCCAGGGTATGAAATGGGGAGGACCCTGCATGGAGCAATGGCTCTGGCAGGAGCTGAGCACTGAGGACAAAGCCTTGCTGTGGGACAGGACCTATTCCAGTTTATAAACTGGTGTTTAGTCCTATAGGCCTTGCCTGAATTTGGCCTGTCTGTATAAGAAGGTGCATATGTCACCCAGTTCCCCCTGGAAGATATGCCTTTGTCACTCACAGCTGTGCTGAAGTCAGTGAATGCTCTAATTCCTCTATACAAGCCGATTCATTCCTTTAATTAACACTGACTTTCCCGTTGGTTCCAGCTGATTCAGTGCTTCCGTACTTTGATAACAGGACAGCAGCCTGTTGAATCACCGCCCCGAATAGGCTAGGACCTGAGAGTGTTTTTTTTCCCAGAGCATATTTTTGCACTGCAAGCTGTAGTACAATCACAACATGAGGAAGCAAATCCTTCTATATGGGAGGAAGATGGAAGAAACCGGCCAGCCCAGTAGCAGGTGTTTTCCTGCTATTCAGAGCTTCCAGACCCCAGGAGATGTGTACCCTGGCTAAAAAAGGTCTGCCTGCTCCAGGATGCAAGACTCTTTAAAGTCCAGTGAGGACACTGTCCTTTGCCCACTGCACCTTTTCCTTTCCCAGTAGGTTCACCCACCCCACAGGGCCATCGATAAGCTGTTCCCTGGAAAAGGCATATGGGTTTTCTCATTGCACAGTAGCTGCACATTGCTAGGAGATGGATGTTTTCTTGTCACTCGAGGGCTACTCATTCAAGAGAATTGGTGGTTTCTTGCAGTTCCTATACAGGAAGAATAACCAGGGATGTCATGGGAGTAGCTACTGTCCCTGAACAGTGGTATAGGACATATTGGTAAGAATTAGGCCACTTTCCAGCTTCTCATCTTCCAGGAAGCTTGTGTCAAAGAGGAACCTTAGGCTCCGCATAGTACCTATCTTTTAATTTAACTCTTGATTTAATTGGTCT